TGAAACCCGGGCCTGCATCAAGTCTCTAGTCAAGTCCGAGTTGGCCTGAGCGGGTGTTTAGATGTGAGCCAAGCTCAGGCCAAGGTCAGGGCAGGGGGATGGGTCCAGTTTGAAGGCTGGTCCCTTAAGATGCTGACACTGAGAAATCCCGCAGCCTTTCCAGAGCTGGAGGATACGGCCCAGATGGAAATCACGCTTGGATCCAATAGTGAGGGATCAATCAGTCCAAATCTACTTCCCCCCTTCTCCTCCACATGCAGATGGAAGTGGTGGGCTGGATTCTGGGGTGATTTCTGGGCTTATCTCTGTTTAAAATATCCCTCGCCATATAGAGACAATGACTCCTCTCCTTGGGCATGTGGGAACGGCCTGATTGAAGCCAGATGTCTGAGAGAAATGAGAAGAACAAGGAGGATCCAGTAAGTTTTTTGGGTTTTTTTTGCCTATAGGAAATTTATCAGCGTTTTTGGGAGCTTCCCTGCAATTTTAATTCCAAGGCAACATATGTATTTGGCTTGATGACTCTATAGGTTATAGGAAAAGCATAAAGGAGTCATTCCCACAAATCACACAGGCCGTCTACAGACAGCAAAGGGAATTTTGCAAGGGAGGCAGGAAGCAAGCAAAAATCTCCAAAGCGTTCCTCGAAAGATGTATGCATTCAAAGCACCAGAACGGTATGTTCAATCAGGTCTTTTCTTTCCAACAGTCCCCTCGTCTTTGCAGCAGTCGACATGATCTTAGCGCGATCCTCCTTTGCGTTGGGTCACGTTGCATTTCACCGCTTTGCTCGACGTCTTGTGAAGAGCACCTGGCATTCAACAGCAGCTCGGTTCCTGTGCACCACGTCCCAATGCCAAGTGAGCTGACTCTGAAGCATTCTCCGACGTGCCAGCTTTTCCAGACTTCTCAGCTTTGGCAAGACAATGGATGAACAGAAATCTATCCTCGAGAAACAGAAATGCAAGGCTGGAGACGGGTGAAACGCTCCAGGTTCTCCGCGCCAAGAAGTAGCGCCGACTGCTCCACTACCCTCCTGGATGCTGGACAGCAGATGTGAACAGGTGCAGAGAAAGGCAGGATGAAAAGCAACGTGGAGGAAGTGGAGCTTTTTAGGCAGCCGCTCTGTGAGTCACGCTGGAGACTTTCAGCCCCGGGGCTTCCAGCGCCAAGTCTGCAGAGAGCTAACGGTCCACATCACACCCGGGTCTGATTTAAGAGCTCAGCCTGCTCTCAGGTCCAGACGGCTGCAAGCATTTCAAGCTGTGTTGACTTTTTAATGCCAGAATCACCTTCCTTCCTTGGCCTGGTCCAAAGCCCAGCCAAGCTGAAGGATTGATGCCAGCTGACTGTGTGCACGTGGAGTCTGCCTGCAGCCTCAGCACAATGCACGGGGTATGGACAGGCCACCGAATGATGGAGGTACAAGGGACTGACTGCGTGGCAGCTGCTTGTGGTGACTGTCCACGTGTGCACATTGCTGCCCTAAGGTAAGGGGAAGCAAAAGCAGGGCAGCTTAGTCCTCCATGAGTGTTTGTCTGTGCGTGCCCTCACCTCACTTCTGCACCCAGGTGTGGAGGAATCATGTCCCTCCTTCTCGGCTTCCTGGCACAGCATTTCCAAGGCCAGAGAAACAAGAGCGTTGAGCGCTCAGACCATGTCCTGCAGGGACCTTCCTGCCCCGTGCGTCCCCAAGGGGGTGTGGGAATAGCTGGGTGAAGCCCCTCTCACTAGCTGCCCAGCCTGGCAGGGCATCTGGATCTCAGCTGGGGGGAAACGGGGGTGCTAGAGGCTTTAGTGATGCTATAGTAATATAGTAATACTGCAGAGGCCTGTGTCCAATAGAAGACAGACATTAGTGGTGCACACCCATCCTCTCTCAGCATCCCCTAACCCCATTTCCCCCATCCCACTTCTCTAATGCTCCTGTCTCAGCTCCGGTGCTGGGACCACAGGAGCCAAGCACTGCCCAGCTGCTCCAGGAGAGCCTGGCAAGTCCTCTGAATGCATGCACCTAGGAGCAGGAGACCTCCTGGTCCAGCTCTCAGGTACCTCCGCGCTGGGATGTGTCCAAGTTGCAGCCCAAAGGATCGCGCGGGCTGAGACCTGCCTCACTGGTTCTCCATGGGAGCCTCTAGCATGCCTCTTTGGTTTCGACGGCACACGGGACAGTGGTGAGCATACCATCACCCGTGCTTGGGGAGATGGCAACAGGCCTCTCGGCCCAGCCTCGGGGAAGGACGACGGACTTCCCACTAATGACCTGGGTCCACGGTGCAGCTCCTGGCTCTGCCACAGGCTCCTGCTGTGAGCTGGGTCCTGTCCCTTGATATCTCTATACTTCCTTCATACAGAAGTCAGGCTGGAAGGGACCTCGAGAGATCATCTAGTCCGACTGAGCATCGAACCTGTGATATTAGCTCCCCACTTCTTTTTTCTGGTCTATTTGGACGGTGAACACTAGCATTGCCCTTCCTTTCAACGTCCAGAGCCAATCGCTTGCGAAAGAGAAGCCCGCCGCTGAGGCTACATAATCATCCGCTCCTTTCATTTGGGGTTTGTTGGATAACGAGTTTGTAAATATGACAAGACGTCAGATAAACATTCAGTAAACATCCCCGCCAAGCTCTGGGCTGATGGCTTCCCTGGCCTGATCCCTGCTAGTGCGAACCCCTGTGCAAACCACTTCCTCCAGCTTATCCGGACTAGCTCCCTCCGGGGAGGTTCAGGTGCGGACTCGGGTGAAGGCCAAACTCGACTGTGGGGAAAACCGATGCGGCGGCCCTGACTTTGCTGCGGCTGTGGCAGGGCTGGGTTGGGCCGCTAGGTGCCCGAGGAGGATGGCTTTCATTTTAAAGTGTATTTGTTGCATTCTTCACAGAATAGCGAGAGCTATTGAATGCTATAAAGACTGAAATGGAAACACAGGACTGTTTCTGGATATTTGATATAGGCCTCGGAAGAACAGGTGGACCTGCAAGAATGTGAGCTCGCTTTTGAGCCCAATGCTACCGATCAGAAACAACTGGACACAGTACTACAAGAGCATGAATTAATGGACCAGGAAACAACCCACCACGCCTGCTTTCCATAGGATGGCTACCCCAAAAATATGCAAACAGGAGACGCACAAAGTTGCTCGCTTACTTCCACGATGTGTGATGAAAACCCAGTCTGGGACATCTCCAGTCCAAAGGAGATTTCATTCTTGTTGGTGCCTAAAATAAAAAAAGAGGGGTTGAATGTAAAGATGCTCTCTGGGTGAGATGACCGGTTATCCACGGGGACGAGATAAAACAAACTCCTGCTTTATGCGGTGCGTTTGCAAGGAATGGTTATCTCCTCAGCCGCGGTCACCAGACTTAACCCCACTCGGGTCAATTTATATGAGCCATGGATCAGACGAGTACACAGTGCAAATCCTGCCGCTAGAGAAGTGACTCATTTTCTCACAGTCGTAAAAACCTATAGGTTTAGATAATCTCACCATATATGGTAGAGTAGAGCAAAATATTCTGGGAAAAACCTTTTTCACTAAAAAAAAAAAAATCATTAAAAATCGTGGCTCGCTAGAGATAGTTTGCTAATCCACGGGGAGGTGATCAAATTCTTTTGGCCGGGAAGAGAGAAAAATTTAAAGAGTCAAACTTTAAAAGAGTCAAAAAAATTTAAAGAGTCAAAATGTTCCTTCCCTTCTGCTGGATTTGAATGAAATATTTCACCATTTTCTTTCCACCCAGCAATGTTTTGTTTTAAAATTAGCTTAATCCCATTCAAATAAAAGGTAAAAAAAAATGGCGGAAAAGGAACTATTTGGCTTGACCTGAAATGAAATGATTCCTGGCTTTTCCCGCCGGTGGGAAAACAGAAATGGTTTAATTTCGGGTTGACCTGAAAAAACAAAATGCTCGGTTTGGCAAAGAAACCAAGAGAGCAACGATCCCAACCTTTCTGTAACGTCTGGCATTCGAGTGTATCCTTTACGCAGGCAGGATTATGGTGATTTGAGGCTGCTTAGATCTTGCCACATGCGAATGGATTTCCATGGGGTTAATAATAAAAAAAAAAAGCACTAAACGGACTCGAAGGCTACGCCTAGATCAAATTTCAAAGGCTTTCGACACACCAGGGAAGCATTAGTGTTCTTCAGTTCAAGGACTTTTCTCATGGGAAATGTTAGGTGACCCTCACGTGGGGGTTGTTGCTGGTCCCTCTGCGTTGGACACGTGCAAAGTGTTCAGCAGCAGGGGTATCCTATACCACGTAATTAAAAGAAATGTAGCTCTTTAAGTTATGATTCAAAGGATTCCAGAACAAAGGATGTTTTTCATGTTGGGAAAATGCCCAGCAGACTCCAGTCATGTTGAAAAATTGGATTAAATGGAGGGTTGTAATGGCCCGCTCCAAATAAAGGCAGGTCTGTTTGGAAACTGAAGCTGATTTCTATGCCCCTTATGGCAGCGGGTCGTAGCCTTTGGAGACTCAAGCCTTCCCCTTGCGAGACTCAAGACACCCCTCGAAAAATGCCGAGTTTTAGCTTTCACTCGTTTTTTGACTGCGGAGGGAACTCAGCAAGCCCATGACCAGTCAGAGCGGCTTGGGCACTGGATTCCCATCTGAAACCTCTGGGTTTATCTTGTAGGTGTTTGCACACCTACCCGTGCTAATACTGAGCGGGTGCGAATCACCGCCCTATGGTCTGACCTGTAAGGCGAGCTGAAGGAAGAAGTGCCGATTGGAGCCGGGAACGCAGACCACTCACCTTCCAAACTAAATATCCTTTCTCCCAGGGCGTCCACGATATCCTTGAGTGCGGCTTCATCGGTGACATTAAAGAAATGCTTGTCATCCGGGTCACTTGCTATAAATTTGATTTCGTTCAAAAACGTTTCCGGATTGATTCCTCTCCTGTTGTAATAGCCCAGCACCTGCGTTGCAAACACGAGTCTCCGAGTCCTCCTGCGCATGTTTTACCAAACGTTGCAAGCCAAACCGTCCCTGCCTGCCTTTTGCCACCCTGTTGCAGGACCTGAGCACTGCAATCGTCCACATTCATGCCAGAGGTTTTCTTTATACCACCTGATGGCCCCTTTGCATCGATGATCTCACCGATGCCCCTGTATTATTACCCGTTTGCCCACGGGGAAGCAGAGGCAGAGAGAGGGCAAGAAAGGGAAGGCATCTCGACTCCTACCTACCACGGGGCTCTTAACCGTGAGAGGTCTTGTGTGAATCTAGTGGGAGTCAAAGGGCCTCGGTTGTCGTCTTGCCTCTGCCATTGACTTGCTGCCAGGCTTTGGGCAAGCTAATTTCTCTCTCTCAGCTCAGTTTTTCTGCTTGTAAAGCAAGGGTGAGGATGCTCCCCAGCTTTGGGAAGCACTCTGAGATCTGCAACAAAAACCCCTCCGTAATAGTTCAGGAGCCAGTGCAAAGGTGTCCCAGAGACCTCTAGACCTTACAAATCACAATATCACCTGTGTTACTGCTGATAAGAAACTAAAAGACCTGGCAGCATTTTCCAGGTGACTTTTGCTCAGAGTTAGGACAACGCTGGGCTGTGCCAATGCTCCTTCTGGGACTTAAAGCTGGTGGTTTCTAGCTGGAGGGTCTTGTCCCTCCGCTCAGGATCAGTCCGGTGCCATACTGGGGGTCAGGGAGGAGTTTTACCCCTGGTCACATTGGTATGGGCTGGGGTGGGGGGTTGCTTTCCTCTGTAGCCCTCTCCCTGGGATCTCTGGGGTGTATATTAACAGCCTTTTAGAGAAGCGGGACGTTGGCTGCCGCGGTCCCCCTCCTTTACCTGTGACAGGTTTGGGTGTGATGACTTGTGTTGGGTCAGGGTTGACAGTCGTTTTACTAAGGTGCTGGGTTAGTCTGGGAGGGTTTGCACAGGGCTGATCCAGGGGCCGGACTAGATGGGACCTCTGGAGACGGGACAGGGACTTACAGCCACAGCATATCTGGTGACGTTGTCCCTCTCGCTGTCCTCGATCACCTTCTCCAGGTCCGGGCTGTCGTGGGACTCGCCGTCGGTTATCACGATCATCACTTTCTTGGCTCCTTTCCGCCCGCCTTTCTGAAAGGCCTCCGAGCTGAAACGGCAGAAACGCGGGGCCGTTCAAAACAGCCGGCTGATGCTTGGCTTGCTCAAAGGGGAGCGCCGTGCTGAGCCCTGCTCTGATCAGGACCCCCCTGTATACGGACCCCCATCAGGGCACGTCCTGAGCTCAGCCCCCTCCGTGAAACGCTCCCCCTCGTGTCTGAGCTCCTCTTGTCTGAGTCAGGCCCACAGCGCTCATCCCACCCGGATGACCAGGATCCAAGTGCCTGAGTCACCGACCACAGACGGTTGTTTTAATGGGCTGCTGCTTCCTGTGTTACAAGGGGAATGTGCCGGGACGCAGGCTCCTAGGAAAGCTTTTCGCCCAAAACAAGGGGTCTTCTCTCCAAGCAGACCTGGTGGCCGTCCCGGCCTGGAGAACTGGCAATTGCTGTATGCAGCTGACCGAGCACGGACCCAGCCCTTCGTTTAAATGGGCCTGTCAATTAGGTCATGCATTACCAATGCATGAAGGCTGATGAGGCTGAAGTTGTCTTAATTGCACATGACTAATTAGGCCACGAAGCAAGAGGAACCGTGATCTGCAGGTTGGTCTTGAGTCCGGTCTGCAGCCATCAGGCTAGCCGTGTTCCCTGCTTGACCCGGCATCCAAACGGGGTGACCCATATTCCCAAGGGAGAGATGTGGGGGACAAACGGGCCTGATCCTGTCTCCACCCCACGCACAGCAGGTGTGCAGAAAGCCCGCTCCATCCATTTCCCTGCTCTGACCGCAGGCGCAGAATGGAGGTATGATAGAGATGGGCTGGGGGGAGGAAACCTGGACAGTGCACAGCTGGAAACCCCTGGCTAGAGGGAAAGCCCCCGGGGACCATGCACAGCAGCCCCAGGCAGCTGCAGGATGGCGTGTGCATGTCAAGGCAGGATCCCCTCACCCTGAGCATCCCTGCAGCTGGGGAATATGCCCAAAAGGTGAGGAGCCATCCTTAAGGCTTCGTCTAGAAGGATCCCCCAGTGCAGGGGCTGTCGCTTACTTAACCGCACGTCTAGAAAGAAAGAACAAAAGGCAAGACTTGACCCTCGCAGACAGTTTAAATGCATCTCTCTGCTTTACCGAGCAAACTCGATGCCGTAGGCCGTCCTGGTCTCTGTGCCTCCTCGCTGCTCGATGTGGCTAGCGGCTTCCACCACGTCTTTGACGGATCTGTAGTCATTTAGGTGAAACTCATGGACAACGTCTTCTCCGTACTGGACAACGCCCACCTAGGAATGAAAGGAGCTTTACATAGGACCCGGACAGGTCACAGCATAGCAATCGCCTGAGAATAAAAAGAGCATTTTGACCAGGCAAACGAAGTGTCAGCCCAAGTGCATTTGCTGGCTGCTGCATGATTTACTAGCAATGTGGGGGTGGTGGAGGAAGGATGGGAAGGAACAAGGACATCTGCAAGGGAAGCAGGTCTTTCTCTACCTGTGCTGCATTGGGCTCCAAGTAAAAGCCCTAGCAGGCATGTTCCTACTGCAAAGATGACAGGATAGCTTCAGTTAGTGACCTGCACACATTAAAATGCATGAGGGCACTTGGCAATTTGCATGTGTTTAAAGGAGTGGAATTAAACAGCTTCTTGTGGTGGCAAATCTGAGGCTTCTTGTAGCCCTGGGCCCAGGAGAACATGCTGCAAAGCTCTCTCAACTCCATGCAGGGAAAACCCACGTGCCAAGTGGGTTCGGAGGGCAGTGGACAGCGAAGAGCAGTAAGAAAAGGAGGAGGCCTCGCGGTGCCGAGACATCAGGGACAAGGGAATCCAAAAGAGGGCTTGCAGTAGTATTTTTGCCAATGCTTGAGTGGAAGATAACGATCCACTAAAAATGTGCAATGATGGATCAGGTCACAAACTAGGTCTGCTCTGAGCTGGAAGGCCTGGCAAAACAGCAGCTCTCCTGCTGGGAGTTGGATACCAAAATCCGTCCCTTCAGAGGGGATCCTCTAGACGCCTCTTGCATGCAACGGGCAGGGAAGGCTCTGCATATACGTGCATTCATTAGGGTCCTTTGCTGCTCACAGTTGCAATGAAATATGGCCAAGTCCTCACTGCCTCTGCCCACCGTTTTCCCCCAATGGCTAGTGACGATACGAATCCAGCACTGATTGTATGCCCATATTCTGCTACCCACGCACAGCCCTCAGCGCTGGCAGCTAATAGCAAAGGATGAGGGCAGGACGGGGTTTGGTTGAGAGCTGAGATGTGCGGGCCATGCTAATGACTACTCTTATGAGCACCTGCAGGGTCAGCAGTTTCACTGGTCCCGGACAGAAGCCCCTTCTGCCCCCTTCTCCCCTGCTTTTCCTGCCTTCTCGGTCATGCACTTGGGTACAAACCTCAGCGCTTGCAAGGCCCACGGGAGCTGATAAGAAAATGAGGAATTGCTCTTCTCTGCTGCAAAAAATACATCTCCAGAGAGCAGGACTTCTTAAACGCTGCATGACTGAACTCTCCATCCTCCGCCCTCGCCTGCTCTCAGTGTGTGGGTTGCTCCTTTCTCCATCGCTCATTTAAGAGCATTAATGGGAACATTATTTCCATAGGTTTGGCTTTAACATATATACACTGAAGGTTTGTTTTGATAAAGCACTTTGCCAAACTACAGTACCTTGGCAAAAGAAAGGCTCCTGCTCCTCATACACAGGCCAGGGAAATGTGTATTATGAGGAACAACATACATGCAAATGCACCAGCTCATCACAGAGTGCTTACTTGTATCTGTCCAGGCCCAATGTAGAATTTTTTCAAGATGTTTATCAGGAAATGCTGGACTTCAACCCAAGGATAGATGCTGTTTGATCCATCCAGGACGATGATTATGTCCATGTACGTTTGGCACCCTGTGAAAAATATCCAGAAAGACCTTGGCAACCACTGTTAAGTTGAAATTTATGGCTATATTCCTGGCAGTCAGAGACTTACTCATGCTGCTTGTTTGAAAAGTCTTATTTCAGTTAAAGACCTTCAGGTTGGATTCACTTAAACATGATAGAGGGCGCGCACCCCCATTCATTATCAGCTTGACCAGGACAAAAGGCTGAGTAACTTTTGGAGAAGGAAACTCAGCAGCCTCAGCTTTCTGCTTCAAATCTGTTTGCCCATACAACTTCAAAGCAACTGAGCCAGATTTTTGGTGTCATAGATTCATAGATTCATAGATGCTAGGGTTGGAAGGGTCCTCAATAGATCATCGAGTCCAACCCCCTGCATAGGCAGGAAAGAGTACTGGGTCTAGATGACCCCAGCTAGATACTCATCTAACCTCCTTTTGAAGACCCCCAGGGTAGGGGAGAGCACCACCTCCCTTGGGAGCCCGTTCCAGACCTTGGCCACTCGAACTGTGAAGAAGTTCTTCCTAATGTCCAGTCTAAATCTGCTCTCTGCTAGCTTGTGACCATTATTTCTTGTAACCCCCGGGGGCGCCTCGGTGAATAAAACCTCACCAATTCCCTTCTGTGCCCCCGTGATGAACTTGTCGTTACTCAACACTTTGCTCTTGATTTGAGTGGAGCAATTCACAAATGCTCAGTTCAGTGACATGCTTAAGCAGATGCTTAATTTCAGTGTGCCCAAATGCCTCCCTGAAGTCCCTGGCAGAGGGAGGTGGTGCTCACCCGGCAAGCACGGCAGCATCTGAGCCTTGGAAGCTCCCAGGGGCAGAGACCTCGTGTTCCTCTGCATTTAGCGCTTCACTCAGCCTATTGACAGAGCTCAGTTCATAGATTCAGAGATGTTTGGGTTGGAAAAGACCTCAGTAGACCATCCAATCCGACCCCCTGCCCTGGGCAGGAAAGAGCGCTGGGGTCAGATGACCCCAGCCAGGTGCTTGTCCAGTCTCCTCTTAAAGACCCCCAAGGTAGGGGAGAGCACCACCTCCCTTGGAGCCCATTCCAGATTCTGGTAACCCTTACCGTAAAGAAGTTAACAATGCAAGGTTGGTATTTTCTTAGGACAGACTCCCACTGAAGCCTCAATAAAGGCTGAGACTAATATATATATAGTATACACACACACACTTCTCCAACCATATATATATCTATATATATCTATATCTAACTATATCTATATATATCTATATCTATATATATGTGTGTGTGTGTGTGTATATATATATATATGTATGTATGTATGTATGTATGTATGTGTGCATATACACACACATATTTATGGTTGGGGGAATATATATATATATATAGATTGATCGATAGATTGATAGATATAGATATAGACATAGATATAATTGGAGATATATGTGTGTGTATGTAGATATAGATCTATCTATTGATCTATCTATAGTTGAAGGATTTAGAAAATGGCTTGTTTCAAAGATGAAACGGGACAGGTTAGTGCGGTATAGCTTTCTTTTGTGCCCTCCAATTCTGCAGCGTGGTTTGGATTACTGGTTGGAGGGGCAGAAGTAGGGGGGTCCTACCATGGACCATGTCACATTTATTGGTTATGTGATCCTATCCAAAGGACCCAGCAAACTCAGAAATCATGGGCAGTGAGCCTGAGCAGTCTCTCATTAGACACTTTGGATGAGGATACCTTTTCTTTCATTTCATGCTGTACCATAAAAAGGTGCTGGGTAACCTTTCTGCCAAGGTATCGGTGAATTCACAGATTTCAATAAGGTTGCTGCAGCAATCTTGGATGGACAAAAATTTGCAATGGCATCAAGACACCAATGGGAGACTTCCACCCTCCCTGTCTACAGAGTTATATTGTGAGGGGAAGTCAAAACAGACAAATTGCTAATGGGCTCTGCATGTTTTCCTCCCTGTCACCCCCAAAACGGAGGTTTCTATAGAATGAGACCCAACAGTTCCAAAAAAATATATCCACATTTAGATACTTAATTAAGTGGCTTGATCCTTCGCAGGTGCTAAAGGCACAGGTTTCTCACAATAATCACAACGGATTCAACGCATATAAGACAATCAGACTACTGATTTGATGCCTAAATATGGGATCAGGGATCTAATTTTAGGAACCTAGGTCTGAAAATGCTGGCCAAAACTTTTCAGGTTTAGGAATTCACTTTGTTTTGAGTGGCCAATGCCTGCATTCCTTCCTTATTTTGCCTTCCTCCTATGCTGGATACTTTAATTTCTGTTTTTTTGGAAGAATGAAGTATTTTGTCTTCCCAACGTGTCACTCAGAAGGAAAATGTGTACCAGATGTCTGTGCGTCTATCCCCCTTTGAACCACTTTTCTGGAATAATTTCCTTTGCTATCTCGCCGCCTCCTAAAAATACCGACATGGCTTTGTTTTCTCAATGGTACGTGAAGCGATTAAAGAACAAAAAATCTATTTAACTTCAAAAGCAGGGTTTGACTTAGAGGCTACATAACAGATCGCGTCTCGTACTCTGGAGAGCGGGAGCGATGGTCTTGGAGAATCTGAAGTTGGAGTTCACCCTGGAGCACATTCCTGTGGTGTAGTACGAGCTTCCACACTCATGGGACCAGAGAGGGCTGCACGCCTACAAAGAAATCAGGAAAAACAAAGCATCAGGGTGGGATTTAAATCTGTCCCTTCGGAGACCATTGCCTCACAGGCTAGAAAGACCAAGGAGGAATGAGTGCAGTGCCTACACGCCTGACTCAGGAGCTATTCTGGCCAAGCACCTCAGATGGATTGTAGACAAGGAGGGCTGGAAGGGACCTCAGGAGGTCCCATGTAGTCCAACCCAGTGTCAAAGCAGGACCAGTCCCAACTACATCATCCCAGCTAACGCTTTGTCTAGATGGGGTAACCCGTTCCAGCGCTTTGCTATCCTCCTCATGAGAAAGTTTTTTTCTATATTATCTCAATCTATGCAGAAAAGCACACCCCAAATCATGCCATAGTGGGATTGCATCTGCTGAGGATTAGGTGGGTAAGCAGAGGCACTTGCTGGGGCTGGTCCAGGCCTGGAAGATGGTGCAGAAAGTAAAAATGTGGGGATGACCTCAATGAAGAAGAAACCAGGATTTTCCTGTTTCCTAGCTGCTTGTGGGTGATATCTTTTATTGACCAACTCCTTGGTTCACTTTTAGGTGTCACCGTACCCTTCCTCAGGCCTGAGGAAGGGTACGGTGACACCCAAAAGCTTGCCTGTGTCCATCCCAACGATGCAGTTGGCCCAATAAAAGATATCACCCACAAGAATTCATGCTTCTAGCACATTTCCTGGACCATCACCTCAGCCCTACTGGGTAAGGAGGTGATCCCCAGTCTCTTTTCCAAATGCAAAACCCCAGGAGGGTGGATCGGTTATGGGGTCCGCCCAGGCAGCTGCAACTTTCATGCCCTTGGCAAGGGGTCAGAGCTGGAATACCCTAGTATCCTGCCCCAATATTTTATGCTGTCGAGCAGCTTCCTTCCAGGCTTTAGCCGAGGCTTAGAAAAATTCTCATCCTGTCACATAAAGATCTAGATTTGTATGCATTGGCAGGGACAGCAGACGGGGGTGGGATACAGCAGCAGCGGTATCAGAACGGCAGGAAGGCGGGGACCCGATCTCCACGCTCCGTTTCTCACGAACCCGTGACAGCATTTAGCACTAGGGACATGCTAGCTGCTTAGGACTGACTACCCCCAACCCATCGTCCTGCTGGCACGATGCACGCTGGGATGGGTGAGCTGCTCAGGAAGTTGCACCCCACCGCTTTTCTGTGAAAGAGAAAGGGGGGCTGAATTTTCACCCATCTGCAGGCTGTTTGTTCACTAGCTGCACTCAGAAAAGCGCCTGTAGGAGTTCTGGTTGTGCTTGGCCATAGTCATGCTAAGTCAGAGTAAGCTACGGTGCCGAAAAGCAGTATGGGAGAAAGAGGCCTCCAGACCGTTGGATGACCCAGTAAAAAAGAATACATATAAATGCACTAACGAGCAAAAGGACATTGCAGGGAGGAGGAAAACAGCAGCTCCCAATGTAAAAGTTCGACCTTACTAATGAAGGTGCAGGTGCTTGGTCTTGGCAAACGGAACAAAGGAAAGTGAACGACTTGACAGAGAGATCAGAGCGGGCACAAGATGGGGGGAAGCATGCAAGTATAAATATAGGAGTTGGAAGACCTGTCTCTTGTAGAGGAGCATGAATAATGCATGATGTCTCTCGCTAAGCTGGGCGGACCAATTACTGTACTGCCCAACAAGAAGAAACCTTTCTGAGCTTTGCCACTGAACACGTTATTTAATTTAATGAGGATTAAACCCTGTGACGTGTACAGGCGCCCATATTTGAGTTGCATTTCCTGCATTGTCTTCAGGCCGTGGAAAGTGGCTTGCTAGTGCCGGCCTCCCAGAACATACAGACTTCAGCAGTCTGTGCATCAAAAGCAACAGCAACAAGATATCACCCAAGAAAACACTTTGCACATCTCAGAACAACACGGGAGTGCCAGCATGTGCTGTTGCATGCTTCCCGGTTTGCACATACAGTCTCACATGTGTGTCAGGTGGGTTTCCAGCCACTTCATCGAATCATGGAGAAGTTGGGCTGAAAGGGACCTCCAGAGGTTGTCTAATAGGGCTGTGCGAAATTTCGCCACCAGTTTTGTTTTGACGCTGTTTCAACCTGTTTTGAGGTCATAACAGCAAAATCAAAATGAAAAAGATATGGTCAAAACAGCCTCGAAATGGAACGAGGCAAGTCGAGACGTTTCGCTGTTTCAATGCTGTTTCGCCGTTAGGCTATAATGGGGAAGGACAAAACAGCCTATAACTTTGTCATTTCTGGACAGATTTGGATAAAGCTTGCAGAAATAGTTGTCACTTCTGAGGGAATAAAGTGTGCCAAGTTTCAAGAAGATAGGTGCAGGGAGTTAGGAGAAACTGCACCCCAAAATCTTGAGAGCCAAACTTGTGTCACGTGTACATGTTAAGCCACAGTGGGGTCAAAACTGCAGGGTCACTAGCCTCTGCTGAGGCCACAGAGCCTGCCAAGGTTCAAGAAGATCGGTGCAGGGGGTTCAGAGAAACTGCACCCCAATTCTGAAAGCAATGCTCACGTCACGTGTGTGTTAAGCCACAGCATGGTCAAAACTGCAGGGGTGGTGGCCCTTGGTGAGGCCACAAAGCCTGCCAGGTTTCAAGGAGATCGGTGCAGGGGTTTGAGGGAACTGCACCTCAAGCTGCAGACAAGCAAAACTTGTGCCATGGGTGACACTGCGTGTGCTAAGGCGCAGCGGGGTGACAGCTGCAGGGATGGTGGCCCCTGCTGCGCCACAACGCCTGCCAGCTGTGGAGGAGATCGGTGCAGGGGGGCTCTGGGGCCCGGCACCCTTAGCTGCTGACGGACAAAACTCGTGCCATGGGCACTTTTGCAACCGACTGTCTCTGTCTTGGGGCAGTTGCTTGTCTGTGTTGTATATTTCCTCTCCTTAGTCTGTGGTTTTGTAGGTGTTAATAAATGCTCCTTAAGTCGTTATGTAGTAGCTAGGTCCTGTGTATTGAGCTGGTCCCTGAGTGAATCATGATTAATTGGTAACTGGTGACACAGTAGCTTAGCAGCCAGGCCTGCGGTAGTGTGCCCCCCCATGCCCCAAGGCAGACACAGTTGCACACACACCCATGTCACAAGTTTTGCCTATCCGCAGCTTGAGGTGCAGTTTCCCCCAAACCCCTGCACCGATCTCCTTGACACTTGGCAGGCTTTGTGGCCTCACCAGGGGCCACCACCCCTGCAGTTTTCACCCCCCTGTGGCTTAACACATACACATGACATGAGTTTTGCTTTCAAGATTTTGGGGTGGTTTTCCCAACCCCCCTGCACCTATCTCCTTGAAACTTAGCAGGGTTTGTGGCCTCATCAGGAGCTAGCGAACCTGCAGTTTTGACCCCACTATGGCTCAATATATATACGGGACATGAGTTTTGCTCTCAAAATTTTGGGGTGCATTTTCTCTGAGCCCCCTGCACCTACCTTATTGAAGCAGGGCTACCACTCCTGCATGTTTCATCCAAATCTGGCCAGAAATGACAAAGTTATAGGCTGTTTTGTCCTTCCCCATTATACCCTATGGGCGAAACGGTGAAACAGGGTCAAAATGGGAAAACGTTTCGACGGGACGAAATGAAACAGCCGTTTCGACTTGAAACAAAAGTCAAAATGAAATGCTGTTCTGTCGAAACGCTGGTCAAACCGGAATGCTTCCACTTCGCACACCCCTGCCGTATAAAGCTATGCCCCCGCCTGAGGCAGGAGCACCCCATCGAAGGGTGATCCCTTCTTCAGAGTGCAGATGAAACCCGGCATGCAGGGGCCGTGGCTGAAAGTCTGGCTCATGGTGCCAGCAGAACGTGCATTTGAAAGATTAATGGGTTTCAAAAACATGGTCTGGAGACTGTGCCACCTTGGCAGGAGTTTGATGGCAGAGACCTTGCACCTATGGAGACTCACGCCCGCCCTCGGAGCTGAATAAACCATGCACGTGGTTTCTTTTATGAATTCAACAGACAGGGCAATAGCCAGAGGGCTGTCATTGCTGAGATCTTGGGGAGAGATTCAATATACGACCCTCCCCCAAGAGTTTCTAGGTGAGATATCTTGTTCCTTACCAGAAAGCTGTTGTCCTTGGGGTTTGTGGTCAGGCTCAAGCCAAGGCGCATGTTGTCCTTGCGCTCCGACACGTTGGAAAGCGTGACTCTTCCTTGGGAAGAAATGTCAGAGTGAGGGGAGCTGAACTGCCAGGGACCCAGACCACAGCTTCACCCAGCACTTTGCCCTTGCAAGGGGCTCCGCTCTGTGACCCATGAGGGCTCGTCAGCAGCCCAATGCAAAGAAGGAACTGCTGTGTTTCCACTGAGATTGACCCCAGGGGTGCAATGGCAAACACAGCTGAAGGGCTGCAAGGCTTCATCTGCCCGACAAATACAATCTCATCCAACACTAGCCCTGGGTGGCCAGAGCTGGCAAGGAGGAAACAACTGCCTGCTAGGGAATGAACCAAGAGGATCTACAGGGAAAGCTCAGGACCAGCCTGGCAGCTCCTTGCTACTGTCAGCATGGGCAGGACATACTGCTGCTGACGTGTACTTGCACACGTATCCCATTCCTTGGAGCGGCCTGAAAGACGGGGATGGCCCACAGTGCAATCTTTTAATTATGTTAATGCTAATAATTAACAATCTTTTACAATCTTTAACAATCTTTTAATGATGTTAATGCTTAATGCTAATGGGGAGGGGGGGAATAAATGGGCTTGAATTCCTTCATCCCCCCCCCCAGTCTGTGGTTAAGGAGGGAGCACAAAAACTAACTCAACATGTGACGGTTTGGCAATTTGCATTTCACACATGACAATGGTTTGACGTCTCCCAGTTACAGAATCAGCCCGTTGCTAGAACGTGCGTTTGAGCCAAGACAGCTCAACAAGGGATTCGGAGTAGATTCAGATCACCCCATCGGGTTTGTCACCGCTGCAAAATGTGGTGCCCGAAGACAGGCATCCAGGAGGAAACTGAGCACTTGCAGGTAAGAGCCTTTCCATCTCACACCTCCTAACAGAATGCCTGCGGCGTTGTAAAGAGAGAGGAGCACGAGCCGCTGTCCCCAAACCCAACCTGAGAGTCCAGAGCAGAACTGACCCGATAGGAAGCTTGTAAAATAACCCTTATCCTTAAACACCTCAATTTTGTGAAAGCTTCTACTTGCTCTGAATTCAGACGTACCATTCTGGGGCCAGGCACATCTCTAATTCGGACGTTATTTTCCATTTGACTTGGAATTGCATTTGTTCGCAACCAGCTGCTATTTAGAAACACAGTAGTTTGGATCCTGGAGACTGCTCCCCCCCACCTCCTAATACAGGCAGTGCGGTGGGGAAGGGGGGCTAAAGCCATTTTTTGTGCCTCCCTGAAGCAGGTACCACTGGGATGGTAATGAGATCCAGTTTAGAGCAGCCCTGGGGCTGCTCTGCTTTGTGGTGCTTTCTGCTGCCTGCAGAATAGTCCTAGCCTTAGCAGCTCCTCGTCCTCTCCTGCTCTAACTGCTCACAGCCCATTCATTTATGAAGTTATGGTGCCATGCTGGCTCAGAGGACACCCCGTGACAACCGCATCCCTGCCGGACGCACTCGGGCACTTCAGACCCCCGGAGAACCAGGGAATGGGTTTGAGCACCCGGGGTAGGATCAGTCCTGGAGGAGGGGAAGGGGAAGGGGAGAGGTGAGGGAGGGGAGAGATTATCTGCCCCTGGAAATCAACCCCGGATCTCCCTCTGTGGCCACCTGCATGGAGGGGGTCCTCTGGGCAGCTCAGCGGACCTCAGGTAGCGGCAGAGCCTCTCACACGTGCCCCTTCCACCAGCCAGCGAGGAAGGCGAGGTCGGCAGAGATGGGAGCTCAGCAGCTCTCGCCTCTTTTCTCTGATCCTGATTTAAACTCATCCTGCAGGGCTGAAGCACTTGAAAGTGGACCCGAGCATCACCTTGATGACAAAAGGCTCATAGATTTGTAGGGGTTAAGCCCCAAAGGGACCCTAGACCTTCTCTTTAGGCTTCCTGTGTCCCAAAACAGCACAGCTGCCTCTGTGGGAGGCCCAGAAACCTGGGTCCGTGAGAAGCAAGTCCTCCAGGACGGCATCCAGCCTCGATCGGAGGACGCCCAGCAGTGGAGAACCCCCCCATCCCTCTGGATAGCTGGTACCGGCGGTGATAAAAGAGTGCCTCGTTGCCCGACTGAATTCATCCGGCCTGCAGCTCCCCATCAGCGGTTTCTGACTTTCTCGGCCGGATTGAAAAACCGTTTTCGCCCTTGTGCCCAGGAAGCTATTCCCCAGGTTGTCTCTGAAGCTTCATTTTGGTGGATCAAGCACACGAGGTCTCTCGCTGTGCAGCATTTTCTCCAGGCCTGGAGACATGCACCTCCGGGATGCACCTGCCACTCTGTGGGTCAGGCCTGTACTCCTTGTCCGGGGTGAACAACTCCGCACGTGGCTGCATTAGTGCGCAGGTTGTTCCAATGGGCCTCGACTTACCAAATGGCACAGATCATCACTTCATCACCTCTATCGCCTATTTATTAGTTGGCTAAAAGAGGCTCAGTTCACACGCTTGGACCTTCAGGATACCATCACAAACCATTACTGTCCTCAGACGGAGGTCCAACCTGCTGGAAACTTTCAAGCATAATTTGTTTTTAAGGGAAAAGTGGGATTTGAGCCAAATTAAAAATGTTCACAGGCATGTTCTTATTACTTTGAAAACAACTGTGATTTTTCTTGGAAAATAACGCCCTGCCACATGGCATATTTTTGGTCACCCACCCCCCCTTCCACCCCCTACTTTTTTTGCTTAATTTCTGATATGTTTCAACCCCAACCCATTTTGGTTGCTGAAGATAGGTTTGCGGGGGTTTGGGAGTTTCTGAGAAGTTGAAGTTTTCTGCTTAGCTCTCGAAAGAAAGTCAGGACCGCTGGGATTTCTAAGCTCAGAACTGGGGTGGAAAATCCCGTAACTGCTCCATTATCAAAAATCACAGTCTTCACTTCAAAGCCTTTCAATGTTGCCGAGAAAGTCCCCAGTTCGCTGCATGCTTAGCGTATCATAGCAGAGATGTTGCCGCACTGGGTAACCAGCACTTGAAATATTTCCTCCGAGCTCCCAAGATCCCGGTGTGACATCAGGGTGGCTGAGGTCAGACTGCATGAGTCACTATAGTCTCTTGTCAGCCTTGGCGAGCACGAGAGGGAAGGGCTTTAGGAACGAGTCCTCTGAGTTGCTTGGGAAGCAGGGAGAAAAGCTGGCCAAGTTGTGTCTAACCCCACATGACCCCTGGTATCCAGGGACTGGATTTTGCATCCATCCAACAAGGCAAATGTTGCTCCAGAAGATCATTAGAGCTGGGAAATGCTGGCGGAGGTCCATGCATTTTTTCCTGTATCTAAGCAAAACTGTTGCTAGCTCAATGCTTAGCTAATGTTCCTCTGGTCTCAACTTCTGCTAATTGATAAGGTTTGGGAGACAAGGAAGCTCGAGGGGGGCTGCACTGATCCCACTCCTTCTAGCTGTCGTGCTGGGCCACTTTCCCTTGCAGTGACGTGGTGAGATGCATGGGCTTTTTGTTCGTGTTGCTAAGACCACTATCAAATCCTAGTGCGGTGGGAAAAGGCTGAGGATGCTTTTGGGCTTGGACCGTTCCCTGGATCAATGCCGCTGACCGCGCAACGTTTCCCCTTTCTCTATGGGGGAAAAGTGCAAGCATCCTATTGCGGAGGTCCTGCGCCTCCCTGGCGGGATATGGGGAACTCTCACCTCGGAGCTGTTTGGGGTGCCCAAGGGGGCTGGAGGTTGCAAGACACAAAAACCAAATGCCTCCATTTCTGCTGAAGCTGAACTAGTCTGTATGGCCTTTCCACTTGGGGATGGGAAAGCAGATGCCATGAGGCTGAAGCTGCCTGGAGGCAGGGACTAGCAGGGTCTTTAAATACTGTGGGCAAAACCCCCTGCTGTGGGAGAGGCTCCGGTGGAGCACTGCATCTGGGAGATGCTGCACTAAGACATGCAAACACTGGACATCGGACTGGCTGAAGCCTGGGCTCTAGCCGGTCCGTCTCCTGGGTCCCCCAGGGCCAGCATCGGGGCAAGGTGGCTGAATGGGCACCTCAGCCAGAGTCATGTCCTGAAGTAAGAGGGGCCAGATTCCCTCATGCCTGCTCCCCAAACTCAGCCTTTTAGGCCCTGATGCGCACAGCTGGAGGTACATTCCTAATCCAGACCCTTGCCCTCAGCACTTTCCTGCAGCAGCGAGTTCCCCTGGTTCACAGGGCCCTAGCACAGGGGCTTCCTTTCATCAGATTTATATTTGCCACATTGCAGTTCCACCAAAACCTGCTGTTTTGCCCCTGGAACAGGGATGCTCCCAAGACCCGAGGAGAGTGCCCAGGGCCTGCCTGTGCTTCTGCTCTGTCTCTGGGTCATGCCTTAGCAGCTTTGCCACATGCTCCCGGGAGCAAGAGGGCTGCGCTGCGCTGTACCTCCCTGCCCTGCTCAAAGGACCCCAAGTCTAGGAAAGGGCATCGTGGGGTACAGGATGGGGGGCACAAACTTGACTGGAGCTGTGAGGCTCTCTCAGCACATACAGGCTCCCCTCCGTGTGTGCAACCCCTCGGTTTTAAGCACAAATGCCCCTGCCTGTGTTATGGGTAATGGCTCGTGTTACTGAATCTCGAGGGTGATTTTTGCCCCACACATCAGCTTCGGCGAGGAAAACACACCAGGCGGTTTCACTTATTTCCCCGGCACTTTCCCCTTCTGCAGTGTTTAGGTTGCCAACGGGGGAGGAAGACGCCCTGCAATGGGGGCAAGCCTAGGCCATTCACCCCATCTCCCCTCTGGTTTGCATTTTGTGAACAAAAAGCTAAATTTAAGGTTAAAAATGACCTGCCCTCAGCTCTTTCAGATGCCTTCAGTTTGGATTTAGGTCACAGCAGAGAATCAGCCCCAGAGAAATGTTATCTCGTGGTCTTTGGGGCATTTCTCACAGCCGTCCCCAGAAGTGGTGTCGGAGCAGGCGGTGCCATAGGGTGCTTGTCCACGCTATGCACTGTCAGGAGGGTAAAATTGTTCTGAGATGTCCTCTAGTATCTTTTACTAGTAATAGCACATTAACCCATTATGAGTGTTAAATGCGCTACATGCAAAATAGTAGCATCAATCGTCATGGTACATTGCGAGAGTGAAATAAAGCTAGAGAATATCTTCAGCTAGAGAAAGCCGATAACGTGTACAAGCGCCCGTAGACTGCCCAGGGAGGTGGTGGACTCGCCCTCCCTGGAGGCTTTCAAGAGGAGGTTTGGACAGGTTTGATTTAGGAGCAGCATTCTGCATTGGTGCTAGGGCTTGGAGCAGATGGCCCTGGAGGTCCCTCGCTATCCCATGATGCTGTGTGTCTACACAACTAGAGCAGAACCTCAGCTTCCACTCTGGAACAAAAGACAGTCTCTCTCTCTCTCTCTGGTGGCTGCAGAGACAATCTCAAAGGTGGGACCTGAGTGCATGGGGGAAGCCTTCAAAGTCACAAAATAATTCAAAAGAACGCCCTATATAGCCATATTTTCTAAATTGTGTGATTTTAACACGGCCCCATGATCTGTATAGGGCTCTACTCCCAACCCACGGGCCCTGCAGAGCTAGCAGGAAGGCTCGTACCTAGGTTCAGCTTGGTGCAGTTGCTTTTGGTGTCGCCGTTCACCGGGCACTTGTAGACGTCTCCAGTCTTCTGCTGCCCGTTGGTTTCGTAGGGAGCTCCCACCACCAGCCTGGACAAAAGAAGGGTCTGTCAATACTTGGGAGGCTCTTTGCAAATGCACATTTCATCGCAAGCATGAGAGCTGCTGCATCAAAGGCACTCTCAGGAATGGACTGAATTCTCCTTCCTGCAAGTGCCAGAAAAAATAAAATACAGTGCTAACAAATTCATTTAGTGGGAAAAGAACCACACGCAGCATTTCTCTTCGTAGGAGCTCCCCCTAAGCCTCGCATGACTAAAGCTGGACTTAAAACACTTCAATCACAATTGCTATGCAGAAGAATGCCTTGGCAAACACATCCGACATTCCCCAACGACCCCCGGAGTATGCAGCAAGACATCCTTTCCCTCTGAAAGGAAGCCAGCGTGCATATATACAATGAGGCTGCAATTTCAAAATGCCTAAAGGTTAAGGGATTTTCAGTGGGAAGTGGGTGCTGAGTCCTGTTGGCAGCTTTTGCAAACACCCTCAGCTTCGTAAACAGGGAGAGAGAGAGAACAAGAGAGCTGTAAATGGACCAATCTTGGCTCCTTTCTCCCATCCTTTTCTTGTTGCTACAATAGGTGTCTTCACCAGTCTCTGCTCTTCGTGGTCAGATGGGAATTCTTTTGCAGTTCCTAAGATCCTACCAGAGTTTGTTCTTCGAGGACTTAAATAAGTAGGAAACACCTGGCAGGGATGGGGGAGAATCACTCGAAAGCACTTCCCACATGGTTGTGACATGTCCAAGGAAGTTTCCTCAGCTTCTAATACTTCTGCAGAAAGCCGAGCATCCTCTGCACCCAGTCAAAAGCAAGACGCAAAACATCAATTTTACCTAACCTCTTCCCAGCTATCACAGGAAACAATGATACAGGGCTAACTTCTCTTTGGAAACAAGAGCTTTCCCGTGACTCAGGAGAAGATGCAGGATTAAGTCCAAGACAGGTCTGGGACTTAAATGAAATCATTGCCAAGGAGCTACAGGCCACTGGCTAGACCAGATACCACCCTTTTATCATCAGCCGCACCCGCAGTCCTTGCTGCAACACCGCAGAGAGAGACGTGGGACAGGAGCTCTGCATTGGAAGATTGTGCTCATCTCAGGGTGATCCTCTCTGAATGGGGTAGGCTGGCTTGGACAAGAAGTTTCACCAGCATGGGACAGCAGCAGCACATGGGAGCCGCTGGACACACACATCTAGACCACGGAGATTGCTTTTGCAGCTGCATGCAATGCAAGGCCCACATGTTCTCTGCGATTTTGAATAGGAAGCATTGCGTTCAGCTACTCCAATTAAATAGAGACCTGGCTCTCATTATTGCCCCTCCCAGGGTCCTGTTATACGTGGGAGCCCTGGCTAATAAAGCTCACAGCAATTGTATACTCTCACTGGTGTCTACATGTGAAGCAGGTCGTGGTGAGCACTGCCTGTTGGTGAACACACCATGTGCTGGGGTGGACTCAGGTGGAGGTCTCCTGAGGTGCCTGCTTTGCCCCAAATGGATTAAGAGCAGCTTTCTCACCCAAAGAAGGGTTAAGCCATATCCCATAGCAGTCCTTACCACTCCAGTGCCATTGCCTGTGACCAGTGCTAAACCACTTGACTTGCAGTGGGGCCTACACTGAAAATCCAACACCTGCCTCCCTGAAGTCCAAGGGAAACAGCTGTGAGATAGACACATCCGATCCTGCCAGAAGGCATCTGCCCATACAGCAGGAAGACCTGTGACCTGTGGCATGTTCCCCCTAGCAGCCTGCTTGGAGAGTACCCAACCCAGCAAAGAACAGTGCAAATAAATTAAATAAGTTAAAAAGCAAAACAAACAAAATAAACAATATAAATAAATAATGATACAAACAAAATAAATACAATAAAAATAAAATAATCATAATAATATAAATAAATAATATGAATAAAACAAATAAAAGATTATAATAATGATATACATAATAATGCAAATAAAATAAATACAACAAAATAAAAAATTCCCACGAAATAATGTTTTTCCTGGGAAAAATGTTGCAAATGAATTGGAACACTTCCTTTGGCCCATGACCATTTTTATCATCTCAAAGAAATTTTGACACAATGTCATTTGAAACCAAAGATTCACAAATATTCAGATCCCCAGATGTCAAAACAGAATAGCTTGAGCTTTAGGAAAACACTTTTTTTTTTAAAAAGTGAAATTCTGTCAAAGTCGACATTTCCTGTGGGAAGTTTTGGTTTTAAGGAAACAGCATTTTCTGATGGAAAAACATTTGGCTGGAAAACGCTTCATCAGTCCTACTTAATGCACATCATTTTTAAAAGGTCTCAGAGTGCTCACAGCCAAGAAGATCCCTGGGGAAGTTTTAAATATGCTCATGGCTACAAGGGCATGGCACCTGGCCCCCGTGTCCTTGTGGTCAGCAGTGCCAAAGGGTCATGAGATAAAGGTCTTCCTTTAGAGCTACAGAGGCTACAACCTGCCAAATGCTGAGACAATCTCCCTGTTCATAGATTCATAGTAAATGAGGGTGGGAAGGGACCGCAGGAGGTCACATCTAATCCAGCCCCCTGCTCCAAGCAGGACCAGCCCCAACTACATCATCCCAGCCAGGGCTTTGTCCACCCGGGTCTTAAAAACCTTCAAGGATGGAGACTGCACCACCTCTCTGGGTGACCTGTTCCAGTGCTTTACTACCCTCTCCATGAGAGTTTTTTCCTAATATCCAACCTCGACTTCCCTTGCTGCAGCTTGAGCCCATTGCTCCTTGTCCTGTATCTGCCCCCACTGAGAACAGCCCAGCTCCATCCTCTTTGCAGGCCCCTGGCAGGGAGGCCTCCTCGGTCTTACACAGTGTTACGTGTGTAACAATACTCTGGGTCCTCAACGAGCCATGGCAATATCAATCTGCTGCTGCTGCTGTTCTTCTTCATATTAATTGATGCTAGGATTTGCTGGGGTGGGTTCTCTCCAAGGGCATATTTCAGACCACTAGACACAAAGACTCTAGAAAGCCTGAACTGACTGCTCAGCGATGGTATGGGGCTCTGCCATGGGATAGTAAATCTCGGCTGAAGCAGGAGACATTTGGCAACCATCACCCCTGGAATGAGACAGCAAAGCAATTGCTCAGATGAAGAATAAACATCCTGCAGTCTTCTTGGCCACTTTTGGGGTATATCCCAAACACCCCACAGCATCACGGTTTCTTGCGGGCTTGACAAAGCATGGTACGAACACGGCTAATGGAAGGACAGCACCGAGAGGTGTGAAGACAGGCCGTTTCTTCCACGTAGGTTGAGAAACACCGGGCCAGCGAGAACGGATGTGTGTCAACCCCAGCTCATGATCCCAAAACAAATACGCAGTCTCAAGCACTGGCTCAAGAAATGCGGAGAGTTTTGGTTTAGGAAACGGAGCCGTGGTTTTACGCACTGAAGTAAGCGCATGGCTACCTCCAAATCCAGAGCCATGACTGAATAGAAATGCTTTTGTTCTGCACAGCGCTACACGACAGCTGGAAAAACAACTAGCCTCAGCACAGCTGCTTTGTGTTACACCGGGAATGAGTATCTTTTTTTTCCCCCAACAACATTTGTTCTAAGGAGACATGAAACACGGTTTCTTTATGGTGAACCAGGATTGCTCAGCAAATTGAACACCTCAGAAGTTTAATTAGCATTTGAGGGTTTCAACTGAAGCATTTCTGGTTTTGCAATTTTCCTAATAAGGAGAAGAGAAGCTAGGAAAAAACAATCAGCCCAAACTAGCCTCAGTAACACAGACTAACGCAAACCAAACTATTCTGAAGTTCAGCAAAGTCTGGATAACACCTACGAGCACTTGGACTCTCCGAGTACCACCAAGCCTCTAGCAGCTACAGCCATAACTGGAAAGGATGCAGAGAGGAGGCGAGGGGAGGGGGAAAGAGAGGTTGAGAGAATGACTGCAGAGATGAAAGACAAGAGAGCATGAAGGCAAATGCATTACAGACATCAGCAAAACTGGCCAGGACCATAACTACAGAGATAAATTATTTGTGTAGCCTGGGTGTGCACAGGCTTGTACTTCCCTTTCCAATTGAGGGAATTATTGGCAGGGCAGTGTGCTGTGGCCGCCTCCGTCTCCTATAGAGTCAGGTCCAGGCAATCAACTACTTAACTATATACAGATTTATTATCACAACAAAACCATTAAAGGGTAAGGACATATATATATATAAATATATATAAATATATATAAATAAATATATATATACACACACACACATATAT